TCAGGCCTTCCATGTTCTCAGCGATGCTTCGCTGTTGCTTCCTTGCCTTTTGGTTGCCTTCAGTGCATGCCAGCCTCCGCGGAAAACTCCACGCAGCCTCTCATGCCGTAAGTGCAGAGCAGCTTCGGGAAACAGTCTTGCAAGAAGTCATGGCAGCCCTGGGCAGCGGAAATCGAGTGACTGAAGAACGGCTGAAATCCATCGAAGATTCAGCCCGGTCAAGTTTTCAGGCAATGCCCAAGAACGAGTACGGGAAATTGGATGATGCAGCTGCTCGGTACATGCTTCATCGACTCTTTGTTCAACGCCATGGTATGTACATCAAGGGCTTGGAAGCCAACGGAATGGATTGGCAGAATGCATCAACATCGCAAGTTCTCCAAGATCACGTGCCGTCCTTTGTCCTGTCCTTGTTTGAAGACCGGTTGAAGGGCCAAGGACTAGGCTTGCATGAACTTACTGTTCTCGCAGCCACCCTTGAGCATTTGATCCATGATGAAGCAGTTTCTCGATTGTCAGTCGTTTACCAAGCACACAATGTGTCTGAGAATGCTGGAGTCGATGAAACCATGCTACAAGAACTCATTGACACATACATGACAATCTTCTTGGTGGGAAGGGCAGAAGTCACTGCTTCTTCTGTGGCATCAGAGCGTGCTGCAGTGGTAGATTCCTACCCTGGCTGGTACGAGACCCAGAAGTTCACAATGCAGGTGCGCTCCACTTTGGTTGCTACAAAGGCTGCTGACCCAAAGTTTGCCGCAGGCAACCTGAGCTTCCATGCAGCTACTGCTGTCGTTGAAGCAATCGGTGAACGATATGGCCGATGGCAGGATGCGGAGTGCAGGGATTTGAAAAAGTCACTGACCCGGCTGGAGCATGATGGCACTGGCAGAGTGCTTTTGAAGGATTTCTATGGTTCAGCTTTGAAGGGCAACTGGCAATTCTCTGAGAGCATTGACTACTTGAGAGAGCTTGGTGCTTTGGATGGGTCTGATTCTGGGAATCTTGCTGTGCTGATCCCAAACTATGTGAAATCACAGTCGAACTGCGTTGCATCCAGCAGCATTTACTCGGTTTGTTGCATCAACGAGTGTGAGTCTCTCATGGGGCAGCTTGAGCGTGCAATAGCAGCTCCAGAAGCCACTCCGGAAGAGGTCCTGGCCATTGTGTCAAAGTTGGCCTCTGACACAGTCAAGGCCCCTCGAGTGCTTTCTGAAGAGTTGAAGCGCCGACTCCAGGATGTTGCAAAAGAGAACAATGGCAAAGTTCCCTTGCATGGCCGCTTGTTTGCTCAGTGGTTGCACCATGCGTACCCACGAGAATGCCCATTTCCACATGTTACAGGAAAAACCAATCCAATGACAGCAGATGAATGGATGCAGACTCGGCATCAGAGCGTTTCTGCTTCCAAGTATGA